CCATATAATGAAAAATGAAGAGGTTTGTACCATAAGGGATCTCAGCTGTTTACACTTCTCAGGAGGCTTCGTCTTTGATTATAATAATCATAAAGATAAACAAAAGAGTAGTGGCTCCATAAATACTCCGGCGTAATGCATAATCAACAAGATGAATCTCTGCTCTTCCCTACTCCCAGCAAGGGAAGTTGCTGCCAGAGCCTGGGTGTTTCTCCTTTTTGGGGGTTGGGGACGGTTGGGATTTGGGTTGGACCCTCTTAGTCATGGCTGGCAGGGGCACAGAGATGTTGCTGTGAGATGGGCAGGGGTGCTGAGTTGGGGTGAGCCCAAGGATGCTGCCATGGGATGTTGCAGGGATGCTGTGGTTGGATGTGAGGGCACCCTGCCTTATTTTTACCTCTCAGGCTGCTTTGCGAAAACCTGACCCGAGAATTTAGCTAAGAAGTTGATTTATTTGTATGCTTTTATCTGTAAGAGTTGTTTGATCCATAAGGCCCTTGCGTGCAGAAACATCCTCGGTGCTGCCCAGCTGCTCCTTCCCAGCCTTTTCTCAGCATGGACTTTGCTTGCTTTATTTTGTTTCCCCCCTCCCCATCCAGTCCTGGTTGAATAAAGGTGTTGCAGCAAGGGAGGCCGGCTGCAGGCTTTTCCTTTGGCCAGGAGAGGAGGAATCTGCTTATTTTTTTTCCAAGGGTGTAATTAGGGCTGGCTGGGTGCACCCCCTCATTACCCAGGCTGGGGAGGAATGCTCTCTAATTATAAAGCCTGCCTGCCTCCGGGTGGGAGGGAGTGCTAACCCGCTGGGAAATGCCTGTCTGTCCTGCTGTCCGTCTGTCCCGAGCTGGGTGGGCTCTGGGAGGAGCTGGAGGTGATGGAGTGAAGGAGTGGCGCTTTCCCGATGCCAGGTTTGGTAGGAAGGGGATGCAAAGGGACTGTGAAGCTCCTGGCAGAGGGCAGCCACGGGAGGAAAAGGTTTGTCAGGGAGAGGTGCTGGGGGGAAAGGTTAAACTGGCTCTTTCCAGGTTTAATTATTCATAAAAGATTGGTGAAAATGGAGAGGCCAAATGCAGCCCAAACAACCAGGCTTCCAGGTGCTTTCCCAGCTGGTGGGTGCAGGAGGGGACGGGCTCCGCTTTTTGGGGGGCCAGAGAGGTAGAACAGACCCCAGCACAGCCCTGAACACGGCAGCACACCAGGGGCTGGGTTTCTGTACTCCAGCCTTTGCTGAGTTACTGTGTTTGGGGGAGGTGTCAGGTGCCACAGGGATGGTCACCCCACAAGCACGTCACCCCCGTGGCATTTTGACCTCAAAATCCAACCTTGCTCCAGACTGGAGATGACATAGAATCATACAATGGTTTGGGTTAGGAGGGACCTTAAAGATCATTTCATTCCCTTGGCAGGGATACCTTCCACTATCCCAAGTTGCTCCAAGCCCTGTCCAACCTGGCCTTGGACACTTCCAGGGATCCAGGGGCAGCCACAGCTTCTCTGGGCAACCTGTGCCAGGGCCTGCCCACCCTCACAGGGAAGAATTGCTTCCATAAATCTAACCTAAATTTCTGCTGTGTCAGTGTGAGCCCAGATGAACCCAGAGGGCTGGTACCACAGGTTTTCCTTGCTCCCCTCCCGAAGGTTCCATGCTCAGTTTTTTGGCCTCTCTTGGGTCTATCCCATCCCATCCCCTTGGTCCCTCTGAGGAGGGAGAGGTTAATGAGCCACGCTGAGTTAATGAGGCCGGGGGTTACATCAGCCAGCTCAGCCCTGGGGACCTGTTACATTCCCTGCATCTCACTTTCATCAGCGCTTCCCAGCTTGTGCCTGAGCCCGCTTTGAGCAATCCCAGGGTTTTGAAGGCACGGGATTTTGTGGGCTCTCTGCAAGGAGGCAGCAGGGAGAGAGTTTGATGATGTGAGTGGCTTCAAATTTTCCAAACTCATCCTCAGTGACACTCTTTATTTTGGAGGGGGTCCTCCTTTCTCCCTGCTGTGGCTCCAGTGGAAAGCATCCCTGGAGAAGGGGCAGTGGGCTTGGCATGGCACTGTTCCACCTCATGGAGACTTGGCCTTTGAAGATGCCCCATGTTGCTGTCACCTCCTCAGCGATGGGGCATCATGTTGGGTGACCACACATATGTGGGAGGCTGAATTTGGGATGAGAAGGGGATGCTCAGGGAAGAGAGGATGATGTCTGGGGGAGGAAGGATGCTCAGGGTGCTTTTAGGGTGAAAAGCTTGGCTGTGTGTTAATGCTGGACACAAAATTGTACCAAGAGGACAGTCTGTGATGGAAAGCCCAGGGGAAAAGGTTTAATCACCACCTGGAGTGGTGATTCTGGCTCCCTGAGAGAGCTCAGGGATGGACTGGAATGTGGTGGGAAGCCTTTGCATCCCTCCAGGGCTTGCAGTGGGGATGCCCTCAGTGGGACAGGCATTCTGGGGTGGGAGTGAACCACGCCAGTGGCTCCAGCATGGAAATCTGCTGGAGCATAAATGGCAACAGCACTAATCCCTAAATGAGTCTGTTCATAGGTTCTCCCTGCAGGCCATAGGAGGGGGAATGTGAGGAGGGGGGGGAATCCCACTCCAGCCTTTCAGACACCTCCTTGAGCCAAGCCCGTGGCCGGAGCATCCCCTCCATCTCAGTCTCTGGAGCCAGAGCCATTCCCATCCCTGCTGGGGGATTGGGAAGGGGGATTGGGAAGGCAGATGACTCTCCTCCTGTGGTGCTGGAGATAAGCTGCCATATATTTTTTTTTTTCATTTCTACAGGAGGATTTTAACCCACCTGGCAGGTTTAACCATTTCCTCCCAGGCCTTCCCAGGAAGCAGCGCTTGCCCTGAGGCGGGTGGGAATGGGGGGAGGTGGAGACAGAAGGGGTTAAGCATCCACTGCCACTGAGATTTAGCTGGAGAAACCCAGCCGGAGAACCCAGGCATCCCAGCTTAATCCTTACATCCTTACATCGCATCCCTGCCGGCCTGGTACGGGGGAGGGAGGGGTGGTGGCTGTGGGTGATGGGCAGCCACTAATGCTCCTGTAATCTTCCAAATATTTGGAGGGATAACAATTGCAGGAGAGAGGATTTTAACGCTTTCCTGCGGAGGTTTGCTCAGGCCCGTTGCTGTCAAAAGGGAATTGCTTTCCAAGGGGAGTTGCTTTTCGGGCTTGCCGTCCCTTGTGCCGAGGTTTGGGGTGATGGAGGGGAGGGTAAGGCTGGATTCCCGGCTCCAGAGCTGCTCCCCATGGAGGGGGTGGGTGGGTTGCTTGGGATCTTCGATCTTCCACCGAGCTGCAAGCGCTGGCTGCCAACATCTGCAGATCACCCCCCAGGGAACAGATGCTGCGGATAATCTAGCTCACCCCCCACCCCCCGGCGGATTAAAACGTGTGATGAGGGATGGGGGAGAGGAAAGAAGTCCTCGGTGCCTATTCCCCTCCTCCTCCCTTTCCCGCCTCGCTGCTCCCACCACCCTTGTCCTCCAGGCCTCAGGGGTTTGGTCCCACAGGTGGAGCTGGGAGCTGCCCCCTGCTTGTTTTTCCCCCCCAAAAAAAAACCATCTCGAGTACTGAAGGCTCCACATCCGCCCCGTAACACCGTGTGAGACTGTGGGATGGTGACAGCCTGGGACTTCCAAAAAAAAAGAAAAAAACCAACAAAAACCCAACAAAATAAAACCCAAAGGAGAGCTGAGAAGCAGGCACCCACCTCCAGGGGGAAGGAGGGAAGCCGGCAGATGGGAACCCCCTGTAGACGTCTGCCAGGGAGATGATGATCGCAGCCAGCGGAGCGCGCGCTCAAATATTTATTAGTTTGTCACTGCTGGGAGTTTTATTGCTTGTCTGATTGCGGGGACTGGAAATCCCGGCGGTGCAGGGCTCCTCTCCTGCTTTCCCTTGCAAAAGCACCTCCTGTGTGCGTGCTGCTGCTCCTGTGGTCGGTGGGCCCAAGTGTCCCCTCGGGTGGCCAGAGCGCAGGCGGCCTCTGTGGAGGTGAGGGGGTTGCACCACTGGGAAAGCGCTTTTATTTTCGGGGTGTTTTGCAGTTGGTGCGGGATAGTCAGGGCAGAAGGAGCAGCAGTTGTTCCTCCGCATGGCACAAGCAGCCGTGTTTTCCACCACCCCCACCCCCCCCACCAACTGTATGTGGAATTTTTGGGGGCCCCCCCAGTGCGTGTTAGCCGAGAGAGAGGTTTCCCATGCAGCGGGTGGCCGGGCGTGGGGAAGGGGGATGAAAGGCTGGGTTGATGGCTTATGATAAATGTGCTCAGCATGGTTCTCCTCCCTTTTCTCATCCAAAGTCCCTGTTGTTCCTATGCCTTAATTCTTCCACAGCTCGTTTAAATACTAGTGGCCATATCATGCTGGAGAAAAACGCCCTGCCCGGCTGCACATGCTTTTTTTTTTTTTTTCAGCTGGATTTCTGGATGGAGAAATTATCCTCCCCCTTGATTTGCTCCTGTTCATGAGCCTGAGGGATCTGTGGGGCTGGGGCTCCGTGGCATGGCCCCAGTTGTGAGTCTGCCACAAAAAAAGCCATCATCCTTTTCCCCTGTCTCGTGTTAGAGCTGCTTTTTTGGCCCCAGATCTCTCTTGGCCAGAAACAAAAGATCTCTCAGATGTTGTGAGTTCGCAGGATTTAAACTTTTCCAGCAGCCAGGATCCTTTTTTGCTTTAAAGGTTCAGGTGTTTTGGGTTCAAACCTTAAATTGAGCAGGTTTTTGTAGCCACCAAAAGCAGATGATGGGTCTGGCTGGGGCCATCATCCCATTCCACCAACCTCGTCCCCAAAGCCACTGTGCCTCCATGGGAACAACCTTGAAGTGTGGAGCTTGAGATCCACAGCATTTATTTGAGCAGACCCCCCCCCTCCTGGAGCAGGGGCTCAGGTGGGATCCAGCAGGTTTTTGGTACCACCGGGCGTGTTTCAGCCCCAAACCCTGTGCTGGGGGGCCAAGGTGGCTCCCACCACGGCCTGGAGCATCACCCATCCCACTGCAGATGATCACGGGTGAGTCACAAACCCGGCATTTTCATCCCCATCCGGCCGTGACTCATCCCCTCCCCGCTCCCAGATCCTCTCGGGTGACCTGAAGTCTTGTTGAGCGTCACCAAAGTGGCGCTGGGGTGGAAGGAATCATGCCTTTGGTGCTGACTGCTGGAGGAGGAGGAGGACCTCTCCTTGCCCGTGGTTTGGGATCAGGGACGTGCAGTTCGGGGTGTCACCTCCATAGGGGAAGGTCCTTCTGAAAATTGGCTTCTTTAGGGACATTGAGGCTTTGTGGGTCATTCTTACTAAACAAAACCCAGGAGCCACCCCGTCCCTGGGGATGGGTGGCCAGCAAGCCCCCAGGTGGATTTTTGGAGGGTGTGTGTGCCCTTTCCCAGCTGCAAAGTTCAGGAGTGACTTTGCAGGCTGCATGGCACAGGGATGCAGGGAGCATCACTTCAGGGAGGTTTTCACACGAGCCCAGGAGTGAAGTTTTGTTGGCTGCCTCTGTTGCCAGTTAGATTATCTCCTGCCAGCTGTCTTTGCCAGGGAATTTAGATTTGTGGCATCTAAGTGGTTTTTGAAATAAAAAAAACAGCCAACGACCAACAAAACAACAACTCAGCGGATGAAAAATTGAGTAGTAACTTTAAAAAAAGGAATAAGAATAAAAATAAAGGATATTTGCTGGGGGGACACTGGCAAGAGGCTGCTCAGCAGGAGAGGGGGAGCAGGACCAGGGGCCTGAGGTGGGCACGGGGGGCAGTGTGGGACTGCTCAGGGTGGGGGGCTCCCCCTTCGGCATTCCCTGTCCCCCTGTCCGCCCCAGGGCCGGGGAAAATCACAGGACTGCAAAGGAGATGGGGGAGGAAATAACCAGCAGCAGAGAGGTGGGGAAGAGCCAGCCAGAGAGAGAGAAATTAGCCCGGAGTTTAATTCATTGTTTCCAAAAGAGCAGTTAATGGATTATGACAAATGTCCTACCGCTCTCCCTTAGTGCTGTGTTAAATGGAAATGGAAAGTCAATTTTCCTAAATGGATTTTAAACGACTGACCTCGTGCATTTTTTTTCCCCTCACTGATTTTTGCTCAGGAGGCAGCTTGGTCATCTTGTTTTCTTGATGCATCTGATTATATTTATTTTTTTTTTTTCTCTTCTTCATCCTTCTCCTCCTCGTGTCTTGGGTTTCTGATTCTCTCTTTGCAGCACCGTTCCTTGCCAAGGGTGTTGAAGGGAGTGGGCTCCTTTCTTTTCCCTGCCAGCTCTGGAGATGTTATCGCGGGGCTGGGGATATTTACTGTTTTCCTGCACGCTGCAGTGCCTGGAGTTGAGAATCACAGCTCTGGCTGAGGGAAGAGAGGAGGAGGAAAAGCTCATAACTCCTTTGGGTGTAAAGAAAAGCCTTGTGATGTGACCTGACTGCTAGTGAGATTCCCCAGGAACAACAGGTTAAGCAGTGGCATCCCAGTGCACCTCTGTGGATTTTTCTATTATTTGGGTTCGATCTTAATGGGTGAAATGGCTGGAAATGGGCTTCCTGCAGATGATGCTCAGCATCAGTCACAGCATCTTCCCAAGCTGCTGCTTGGGATGAGCCACCCTGAGATTCCCACTCCTCAGGGATTATGTCCCTGTGTGAGCACTGAGGTGCTCACCTGTTTCAAAGACTTTTCTTGGCCAGGCCTGAGCAGACCTGACCAATTTTTCTGGTTATTTTTGCATTTAGATGGCTTTTGAAAGCAAAAAAAAGAGAAAGATGGAAGTCCCCAGGTCACTGAGCCCTGGTTCTGGGGTGGGAGAGTGTGAATCCTGGTGGCACCCTTGGGTGATGTTCTCTGGAGGTGCCTGGAAGCGATGGCTTACCTGTTGTGGCGATGCTGAAATCCAAGTGTTGACAGGGGCCTGGGATCCCAAGTGCAGCCCCACTGAAGATGTGGATCCCATACTGGATGTCTGAGATTTGTGCTGGGATATGGTCAACGCTCCCAGCACTGAGCCCCTGCCAGCACTTTGCCTGGGGCATACCCGTGCGTTCCTCGGGGCTGTGAGGAGCAGACCTGGGGTGGGGGACACCAGCCCCTGTGGGGCCTCTCAGTGTCCCCATCAGCGTCCCTGCGCCTGGGTTTGTTCTGCTTTTTCCCTTGTGGTGTCCTCTAGTGAGATCACCCGGGCTTTGGGCTCGGAGCGTGGGTGAGGGAAAACAGGATGAACCCCGCAGCTCTCTGTCTAGCGGGGATTTAGGGATTTGCTTTTCTGGTTTTGGGGGGAGCCTCCAGCCCTCTTCTGCTTTTCCAAGCACCCTCAGTAAGGGCTGTTGGTGACACCACCGCGTGCAGGGCACTCCTGGGGAAGGACAGGGAGGGCAGGAGATGCAGGAGATGGGACTAAGGGCACCTCCCCACCCTCTGGCTCCCCCCGGCAGGGCTGGAGTACAGCGACGTGCTGCCCGACTCCTTCCCCTCAGCGCCGGCAGAGACCCTTCCTCACTTCCTGCTGGAGCCACAGGACGCCTACATCGTGAAGAACAAGCCCGTGGAGCTCGTGTGCCGCGCCAACCCTGCCACCCAGATCTACTTCAAGTGCAACGGGGAGTGGGTCAACCAGAACGACCACGTCACCAAGGAGAGCCTGGACGAGGTCACCGGTGAGCAAACCCACCCCAGAGCGTCCCCCTGCCCGCCTCCCCTTCCCCTCTCCTCTTTCCAGGTGCTCCTGCCCTTCTCTCCCTCACGCACAGCCAACCTCGTTGGTGGCTCTCCTCCAGGCAGAACAACAGCTAGACTTTCCAGAGCGCTGGTGAAGGCAGGATGGTGGTGCTGTGGTCACCATACCCCCTGGAGCCCCGGGGGAACTCAGCCAGCCTGCTTGCACACTCAGCCCTGCTGCGGGACCCGGGCTTTGTTAAATGGGATTTTAAAGGCAGCATGTTTAAATCCGATCAAAAAAAAAAAAAATGGAACAGCTTTCCTGCAAAGTGCCTAATCGACACGTAGGAGTCATTGCCAGGAGGGGTGGCAAAGGCTGGCAGCTTACTCAGGTTCGCAGAGGGATTAGGTGTTTAATGGGTAATGAGAGCAATTGCAGGTAGGGTTTTAAATGCCTTTTGATGGCAAATGAGCTCTTCTCTGCCTCAGAGGATAAGTCAGCCTCTGGCTGTCTGGAACAGGGTAAGAAGGTGGTTCAGGCATTTTAGGGGGGGTCTTATTCCATGGGATTGGGCTCTGCAGAGCTGCTTGGTCCGTGCCTTGAAACCTCCTGGCATGAGAACAAGGTGTGGAGTTGGATATATCATGTCATCAAGTAGATTCACTGAAATCGGGATGCTTTAGCTCAGCTCCCATCTTTTCTGCACCAGTTTTGGCACCTGTGGTCTGACCAGGGGTGAAGAAAAACAGTCACAGTTCCCATGTAACATCTGTTCCCTGCAAATCCCTGAGCACGTGGCGTCTGGAGGGCTTTAAACCAAGGCAGCCCTTCTGAACTGCTGTGGTGTTGGCCTGAGAAGTCAGGCTGGGCTTAGAGGAGAGACTTCATCAGCCTGGAGGAGCCACAAGTACTTTTGCAGAATCTCTCCTTGTCCCTGTGGTTTTTCCCACAGCCTTGCCCTTCCCTGGCATCTCTCTCTCTCTCTCTCTCCATCCTACACCAGCCGTGAGCCGGTCTGTGCTTGGGCCCATCCCTGAACCTGCTCCTCAAAGGGGGGATCATTTCTTTCCTCTGGGGTTCTTTGAACCTTTTGTCCTAAAGCTGCTTCAGCTACTCCTGGAGTGTTTTTCTTCCAGAGGAAGGATGGTGAGAGATGCCATCTCTGAAGGGCAAAGCTGTCCCCTTGCTTCTCCGGAGGCTGACGGGAGCAGGGGCCACAGCATTTCTCTTTCCCAGGGTGCATCTCCACCTTCCAGCTCTTTACAGAGGCCAGAGTTGAAACCCTCAGCACTTCAGGGCAGAGTCAGTGCTGGTCAGTGACCGAGCAGCCTTTGCTGAGGGGTTTTGAATTTATTTATAACATCTGGCCACACTGGGTTGAGCCAGAGGTCCCTCTGCCCTCTGTATGGCAGTGGAGGATGCTCAGGGGAAGAGCACTGAACCAGGACGAGGAGGCAACGATGCAGACTGCTTTGTCACCCTCCCAGCTTTCTGCCATCCATGATTAGGGACTCCCTGCTCCCGTGGCAGTATCTGAGCAGTGTGGTCCAGCCCTAGGTGAATTCCTCACTTGTTAATTTGTCTGAATGCTGTTAGGACTCCTTTCTCCTCTGGATCATCCCAGCACTGTACACAGCAGGGAGTTTTCGTAGCTTACTGATGTGCAGTGTGGAAAAAACCCACCCATGTTTTGTAGACTCACGTAATCCCAGAGTGGTTTGGGTTGGAAGAGACCTTAAAGGTCATCCAGTTCCATCCCCTGCCACGGGCAGAGACCTTCCCCTAGAGCAGGTTGCTCCATCCAGCCTGGCCTGGAACACTCCCTGGAATGGAGTATCCATCTGGGACACCTGTTACAGGGGAAACTCGCTTGCCTTGGGCCTTCACAACAATCTGGGGAGGAAACAGCGCACACCACCTTCATCCAGGCTTCAAAGATGGTATTGCTGCTACCAGGGAACAGACCAACAGTGCCTTCAGCGCGGAGGTGATGCTGTGCATGTAAAAGCTGCTGGCGTGGGCATCTCTGCCCGGCAGCTTCCCTGAGAAAAAAGGAGCTGGAACCAAAGTGGTTTACCATGCTGAAAAATCTGCATTTGCAGCGCCTGGCCTTAGTCAGGAAAGCTGCTGCAAAGGGCACAGGGCAGAGCTGGGCACAAAGGCACAGGTTAACATGGTTAGTTTTGAAGCGTCTGCGGTTAAAAGCTTGGAAAAAGGGACCTTTAAGAAGGTAAAAAAAAAAAAAAAAAGAAAAAAAGAAAAAAAGGAACTTTTAGGATGACGTGTCTTGAATGAGCCTGGCTCAGTAATGCTCTGCCTGCGTCTGATCCAAAACATTTCATGTGGAAGAAAGCAAAAATAGGCCAAGTCAGGGAGGATAATTCAGCTGGGTGAGAAGGGCCGGGCGGGAAGAGCGGACAGGTCTGGATGCCTGGGAGCCCTTACGTAGTCACTCCTGTGAGGTTTGACCTCAGCCTACAGTTTTGGTTAGTCATTGCTTTCAGGGGGACAGAAATAGGGCATTTGCAGGCTGCTCCCCACATTTCCAAGGCTGCTCAACTCACCCCACTGGAGCTTTCCAGGTAGGCAAGATGTGTTGGAGCCGCCACTTCCGTCCTGGGTCCTTCTAAAAACCCCAAGTTGCCCAAAAGCGCTTGGCCCAAATACCTTTTCTTTGGTTTGTTTTGTTGGGGGTTTTTTTTGTGTTGTTTTTTTTTTCTTTCCCCTGAATAGTGACAAAATAAATTGTATTTCCTTGTCAGCTCTTCTGCAGGAAGGTGGCAGAGAGACAGTAATTGCTCCTCACAGCGCTGGGAGCGAACTGTAACAAAATTACAGCTGGGGAGCGTGCGGCGCTCGATCGCCGTGAAATTGAGGCCTTTTTAAAATAGAAACTGCAAAAAAAAAAAAAAAAAAAAAAAAAAAAAAAAAAAAAAAAAAAAAAAAAAAAAAAAAAAAAAAAAAGGGCAGGTATTGCTCAAAATAAGGAAAAGTAAGCACTGAGTCCCTCCTGCCCTTGGTGATGGCCACTGATGCTTCAGCGTGTCCTGAACGTGGGGATGTCACCTTTGTCACCACACCCCTGCCTTGGCCAGGATCTTCTGCCTTAAGATCTTCTATATGTCTTGTTATATTTGTATTTAAGTGGCACTGGCAGGGAAGGTTTCTCCCTGCAGCAAAGCCTGGGAGGCATCCTTCAAACCCTGGGGGGTGGGAAGTGGCCCAGGCAGGGATCTTGGTGGCGTGGGAGAGAGCTGGTGGAGGAGGGGGATGCCTCTAGAAATGGTGGAGAGGGTCCTGGTCCTGCTCAGTCAGACTGGGGCGGGGGGACAAAAAGAGACAATTCCACGGGATCCATTGCCCTGGCTGCAAATCCAAGTCACCCTCTGGAGGGAACAATCTCCCTGATGTGCAGAGGTGTCATCCCCAGATGAGATGCCCCTGTCCTCCATCCCTCTCGGGTGCTGCCTCGGTTCCCCTCCTCCCAGATGCTCCTGCCGAGCTGATGCCATCCCTCTCTCCCCTTCCAGGGATGCTGGTGCGGGAGGTGCAGATCGAGGTCTCCCGGCAGCAGGTGGAGGAGCTCTTTGGCTTGGAGGATTACTGGTGCCAGTGCGTGGCCTGGAGCTCGGCGGGCACCACCAAGAGCCGCCGCGCCTACGTCCGCATAGCCTGTAAGTGCCCGGGACGCGCCGCGCCTGCTCCCTGGGGGGTTGCCCGTCTCCAAAAGCTCGCCCTCTGTTGAAATCGCTTATTGATCGCTCAGGAACGACCCATCCTTGCTGGATGGCCCTGGTCTTCGCTCCCCATCCCAGCTCCGGCTTTGCTTCTGAGCGGCGCCGTCCCTCCGTGCCTGGGCGAGAGGCCGTGGCGCTACCTGGGTTAATGCCGCAGTGCCCGTCAGCTCAGCTCTTCCTGGTGCTTTATTATCCCTAATAACCCAAGGATAGCACCTTGCACGCTCTGCCTGAATCAGCGGCTCAGTGTCCCCGAAGTCCCTGCTGTCATATGTCACTTCTCTGAGCCGCTGTTTGGGGGTGTCAGCCTGACTAAGGGCGGGTTAATCGGGTCTTTCCCGCCCCAGTTTGCTCGATTAGCAAATGAGATGGCAAAGCCATGGGAGAACAGCTAGGATTCCCCTGCCCCAAATGGATTTTTGCTATTAGAGGGCTAATAATCCCACATGTTATCCAAAACAGAGAGGGCTGATGAATCCGCTGAAGGGTTTAGTCTGAACAGGGAAAAATCATGGGATCAGAGAATCATGGGATGGTTTGGGTTAGAAGGGACCTTAAAACTCATCTCATTCCAAGCCCCCCCTGCCATGGGCAGGGACACCTTCCATGAGACCAGGCTGCTCAAAGTCACATCCAACCTGGCCTTGAACACATGGTGTTTTTTCAGAGCAGATGAGATAAAGTGAGGGTACCGGAGCCACACAGGAAGGCTGGAGCTGTAGCAGAGGATCACAGCACCATCTAGTGATGCTCCTGCTCCTTCCAAGGCTCTGGAGCAGGACACAGCCATGTCCCCCACGTCCTGAGGGGCTCTGCTGGTCGTCTCTCTCCTTCCCCAAAACACTGTACAACCCCTTTCTGAGCAAGCCTGGCTTTTCTTCTGCAGCCATTCCCCACCGGAGTGCAATGGCCACATTTCCAGCAAGTCTGGGGGTGTGGCTTGACCAGGACGAACTAGGGCAGAGCCGAGCAACAAACCCCCTTAGCCCTGAAATCTGGGAGTCCTCTTCAGCGCTGATGTGGGAGCTGAACTGTTGGGCAAATCTCATTTTCCCCCTTCGTGAAAAGAGGGTCCTGGAGCAAGGTCCGGAGGAGGAAGGAAATGGGGGGGATGAAGAAGCAGTGGTCAGGCTGAGGTTTAGTCCCCAAAGGAAATGACAGGATGGGGTATAAGCTTGCAACAACGTGAAGGAGGACAGATACTGTCCTTGAGCACCATGTGCTGCCAAAATCCATCCTGGAAAACATGATTCTCCAGCTCCTTCCTCTCAGGACACGTTTTGCTCCGGCTGTGCCATGCCAGAGGGATTTCCTGACTCGTGGGTGCTTGGTGCTGAGGCACCCACCGAAGTTTTGGAGATTGCCCTTCTCCTGCAGCAGGGCTGGTAACCCCAGGCTTTTCCTTTCCCTCCCAGACCTACGAAAGAACTTTGACCAGGAGCCGCTGGGCAAGGAGGTCCCGCTGGAACAGGAGGTCCTGCTGCAGTGCCGCCCACCCGAGGGGGTCCCACAGGCCGAGGTGAGCGGCTCCACAGCCTCAAGGAATGCCACCCTGATGGCTGGGGTGTCCCCTCCCTGCCCGGGGCACGTCCTTGCACGTGGCCGGTGGCCGTGATGGATGGCCTCGTGCCGAGACCCGTCAGCTCTCACTGTGCAGCAGAGAGGTTTGTTTTGGGCAGTGGATCTGTTACTGTGACATCTAGTAACACATGTGACCTCAGAGCCTGCTCAGAGCACCTCCCTCGCCCTTCCTGAGGTGCCCTTAACCTCTTTTAGAGGGAAATCTTTAGCCCAGTGAGTTGGCTGAAGGGGAACACAGTCACCAGTGGGAGCAGAGGGCGGCTGGGAAAGTCAGCGTGGATGGGTTTTCCTGCCAAGCTGGTGGAGCTTTCCATGCCCGGAGCTCCACCAGCCCTTGGGAGCTGTGCATTGGTGGTAGCCACATCCTTGGCCCAGACAGCAGTAATGTGCCCCAGGCTTTCAAGTTTTTAAGGAGAAATAAATACAGTCAGAGGCAAGGCTTAGCCAGTCAGTGGTCAAGGTGCTGAGGACGCTGGTGGTGTCAGTAATGGCTCAATCATCGTCCTCACCCACCACTTCCTTTACTGCCAGGTGGAGTGGCTGAGGAACGAGGACGTCATCGACCCCTCCCAGGACACCAACTTCCTGATCACCATCGACCACAACCTCATCATCAAGCAGGCCCGGCTCCTGGACACCGCTAATTACACCTGCATGGCCAAGAACATCGTGGCCAAGCGCCGGAGCACCACGGCCGCTGTCATCGTCTACGGTACCGGCCCTTGCTCCAGGGAGGGGGCCTTTGCGGCTGGCCATGCCCCCACGGGCACTTTTCTGGGAGTGGTAGGAGCGAATTAAATTAGTGCATGAAATTAGGGATGTCTGCAGAACGGGAGCCTCTTGTAGCTTGCACAGCCTGTTAGGGATGGAGGTTCTGAGGTGTAGGGATGGAGGTTTTTCCAAGCCTTCTCTGTTGGGTAGGAAGGTGGATGGAGGCTGGACCCAGCTGGATTGCTTTGACTCTCAAAGCAGCTGAAAAGCTGCGTTTGGCTGAACTTGGCCACGAAACCAAAGGTCTCCTCGGGGCCAGGCACAAAAATATTTGCCAAGTGGAAAAAGGGCCAAAGCTTTGTGCCAAAGGGCTCAACCAAAAGGCTTGAGCACCTTGGGCGTGAGGTGGGATACACGAGGAGGAGTCTTGTGATTTGCTTTTCATGAGAGGGAGCTGTATGAGGGGGTCACAGATGTAAGGACCCGAGGCTTAGCTGCTGTCCCTGCTGAACTGGGCTCTGGTGCTAGTGCTGTCCATCTCTTCCTGCAGTGAACGGTGGCTGGTCCACCTGGTCCGAGTGGTCTCCTTGCAACAACCGCTGTGGCCGGGGCTGGCAGAAGCGCACCCGGACCTGCACCAACCCCGCACCACTGAACGGCGGCTCCTTCTGCGACGGGCAGCCTTTCCAGAAAATCACCTGCACCACCCTCTGCCCAGGTAAGGCAGGTTCGCAGCCTGGCGTCCCCACACTGCCCATGCCCCCAGCTCTGCTCCCAGTGCATCCCAAGGAGACAGGGGCTCAGGAGACCCAGTCCAAAGCACCCACCTGGAATACTGCATCCAGCTCCGGGGTCCCCGGCACAGGAAGGGCATTGACCTCTTGGAGCGAGGATGATCAGAGGAAGGGAGCACCTCTCCTGTGAGGAAAGGCTGGGAGAGTTGGGACTGTTCAGCCTGGAAAAGAGGATGCCTTGAGGGGACCTAATTGTGGCCTTCCAGTGCCTGAAGGGGCCAATTGGGAAGATACAGACTATTTAAAAGGGCCTGGAGTGACAGGGCAAGGGGGAATGGCTTCCCATGGACAGAGAGTTGGTTTAGATTAGATACTGGGAAGGAATTCTTGCCTATGAGGGTGATGAGGCCGTGGCACAGGTTTGCCAGAGAAGCTGTGGTTGCCCCTGGATCCCTGGAAGTGTCCAAGGCCAGGTTGGACAGGGCTTGGAGCAACCTGGGCCAGTGAAAGGTGTCCCTGCCCACGGCAGGGGGTTGGAAAGAGATGATTAATGTCTCTTCCAACCCAAACCATTCTATTATTCTACCCTGTTTTAGTCTCAAAGGGCTGGGGGTGTCTGCAGCGACACAGTTGCCCTCCCCAGACGGCAGCAGGGCTGGATGCGCTGGGATAACAGCCCCTTTGTGCTGCTGGCACCATCCTGGTGGTGGGGAACGAGCCCATTGGGGCCATGCCGGGGCTTTTACTGACGCTCCCGTGTCGGGTGTCCCGCAGTGGACGGCGCGTGGACGGAGTGGAGCAAGTGGTCAGCGTGCAGCACCGAGTGCACGCACTGGCGCAGCCGCGAGTGCGCCGCCCCGGCCCCCCGCAACGGCGGCAAGGACTGCAGCGGGGGGCTCCTGGACTCCAAGAACTGCACCGACGGGCTCTGCCTGCAGAGTGAGTACCTGGGCAGGCGGGCACAGGCACGGGGTGCTGCTGGCTGTGCTGCTCCGGCGCTGGCTGCGCCTCCGAGCCGGCGGAGCGGCGCCGCTGGCACCTGGGGTGGAACAAGGTGTTTTCGGGCAGACTCATCCTCCGGTTCTTACCTGGAGGAAAGAAATACTGGGGGAAATTTTTTGGTGGGATCTAAATGTCCCAATGGCATTGAGACGCCCGGCCCCCCTCTAGGTTTGACGTAAGGCTGGTTGTGGTTAGTGGGGGCAGAGCAGAAGGGGTTTCTCAGCCCCACCGTGATAACACCCTGCCCTGGGTCGTTGCTGGGTAGGAGCTCTGGAGCTGGGTGTTTAGGGAAGCAAACCAGTGATGAAGATAATGGTGCTGCTGTGCTGTGAGTGGGCACGCTGAAGGCAGCCAATGCTGCCACCTGCTGCTGTGTGACACCACTGTCCCCTTTAATGCTGCCATGGCCAGATATTTCCAAAGTCCCATTAGACAAGGGCACACGTTCCAGGGCCTGGCTGGGCACAGAGATGCCCTTGTCACTGTGCTTCTGCCTGGCTTTTGGCACGCCCCGGGGAACAGTGCTGATCTCCCGTGCCCCCAGGCTGGCTTCCCCCCACTTTCTGCTTCATCTCATGCCCATCGTCACCTTCACCATTTTTTTTTTTTCTAACTTTGTTTTCCTAACAGATAAAAGAGTTCTAAGCGAACCCAAAAGCCACCGTAAGTGCTCATTTCATGGCCATTTTTTTTTCTGTTTGTTTCTTTGGTTTTGCTCCGTTGCATCTGCGGTTGGGCTCCTCAGCAGCTGGGCAAGGACAGGGTGGGAAGAGGGAGGAACTAAAGCCCTCCCCAAAACTCCTGTGTACTCCTCAGGCTTGGTCTCTGTTAGGATGTGAGGGCTGATCACGAACCTGAGCTGCACAGATCTAATGTTTCTGGGGTCCTTGGCGCTCAGGTGAAGTTGGCATGAGCCAGGTGTCCTCTAAAGGTCTGAGGGCTTCACCTCCAGCTCATCCTCTAGCATCGCTCTTGACTTCTTGCTCTTAGAAAACACCCTCCATCCTCCTGCCAGCCTTCCCAGCAGGCCCAGTATGCATCTTCCCCTTCCTGCCTGAGTCGGTGGTAGGGTTTGGGGAGCGCTGGTGGGTCACGACGTGCATTTCTCGCGCTCCTTTTCTCACCTCCGCTACTTTAATCCCTCCCAGTGCTGGAGGCCACAGGCGACGTGGCCCTGTACGCCGGGCTGGTGGTGGCCATTTTCGTCTTCATCGTGATCCTCATGGCCGTGGGGGTGGTGGTGTACCGGAGGAGATGCCGGGATTTCGACACGGACATCACGGACTCGTCGGCCGCTCTCACCGGGGGATTCCACCCTGTCAACTTCAAGACCTCCCGGCACGGTGAGAGCCACAGCCGCATTTTCCTGGGGGAACGTGCTGATTTCTGAGGGCTGAGGGCTCCGTGATGGCGGGGGGGAAATCAGTGCAAAGCTTTGAGCGGCCTGGTCTAGTGGAAGGTGTCCCTGCCCGTGTCAGGGTGGTTGGAACTAGGTAATCCTGAAGGTCCCTTCCAACCCAAACCATTTTAGGATTCTGTGATCTCCTCCCCTCGAGCAGCACTTTCCCAACCCCTTGTTTCCTCCGCCGTCTTCATCCCGCCTGTGTTTCCTTGCTCCCCCAGACAACCCCCAGCTGCTGCACCCCTCGATGCAGCCGGACCTGACGGCCAGCGCGGGGCTGTACCGCGGCCCCATGTACGCCCTGCAGGACTCCTCCGACAAGATCCCCATGACCAACTCACCCCTGCTGGACCCCCTGCCCAACCTCAAGATCAAGGTGTACAACTCCTCCACCGCCTCCTCCTCCTCGCCGGGGCTGCACGACGGCACGGACCTGCTGGGGGGGGTCCCCGCCACCGGCACCTACCCGGGGGACACCGCCAGGGAGGGGCACTTCGGGAACGTGAGGAGCAAAGCCCTGGGCTCCCAGCACCTCCTGGGCTTGCCCCGGGAGCACGGCTACAGCGCCAGCGGCACGTTTGGCTACCTGGGGGGAAGGCTCACCGTGCCAGGCACTGGTAAGCCCCGGGCTGGGAGGAGGGACTGTTTGGTTGCTGAACGATCAAGGAGTTGCTCTTGTCCCAGAAAACTCGCCTGCTGTGAGCAGCCTTTTGATGTCCCAAAGCTGGCTCAGGGAAGAAAGGCAGAGAGCCATTCACAAGGCAGGCATCTCAGGCTGGAGGTCACAGCCTCCTTGGGTTTCACTCGGCCTTTCCCTGCCATTGATCCAGGACCAGCACCTTGCAAAAAGATCCAAAGATTAGGATTTTCATCCTCACGCAGTGGCCTGGCTCATCCCTGCAAGTGGTGTAGCTGTGGCCCATCCCAGAGAAGCTGTGGCTGCCCCATCCCTGGAAGTGTCCAAGGCCAGGCTGGATGAAGCTCTGAGCAACCTCATCTAGTGAAAGCTTTTCCTGCCTGTGGCAAGGGGGTTGGAACAAAATGATCTTTAAGGTCCCTCCCAACCCAAAACGTTTCATGATTTTCCTATCTGGAGGTGTTTCTCTCTGGGCTGCCCCAGCTCCCTGCCGTCCTGGTGCTGGGTGTCCGGGGGGAGGGAGGGTGGCTTCTCCCTCTTTTTGTGACTAACTACACCTGTATGTGCTCCATTCCAGGGGTGAGCCTGCTGGTGCCCCACGGGGCCATCCCCCAGGGGAAGTTCTACGAGATGTACCTGGTCCTCAACAAGGCGGAGAGTGCCCTGTAAGTCACCCCGTGCCACCCACACGTCCCCTCCTTGTTGGCCACCGTGGAGTCCCCTTTCCAACCAGTGTCCCCTGTCCCTCCCCAGCCTGCCCTCCGAGGGCACGCAGACGGTGCTGAGCCCGGCAGTGACCTGTGGACCCACCGGCTTGCTCCTGTGCCGCCCCGTCGTCCTGACCATTCCCCACTGCGCCGACGTCGGCTCCTCGGATTGGATCTACCAGCTGAAAACACAGTCCCACCAGGGAAACTGGGAGGTAAGGTGGGAACCCAGCCCAGCGGCCACCAGAGACCGTCAGCGTTGAGGGACCATGGGCTGACCCCCAGCCTTGATGTCCCATCTGCAGGAAGTTGTGACCCTGGATGAGGAGACCCTCAACACTCCCTGCTACTGCCAGCTGGAAGCCAAGTCCTGCCACATCTTGCTAGACCAGCTGGGCACCTACGTCTTCGTGGGAGAGTCCTACTCCAGGTCAGCCATCAAGAGGCTCCAGCTGGCCATCTTTGCCCCCACGGTTTGCACCTCCCTGGAGTACAGCCTCAAGGTCTACTGCCTGGAGGACACGCCAGATGCTCTGAAGGTAAATATCACCTTCCCAAAGCTGTTTGTGCTGGCAGCAAGACGCTGCCTGGTGCCTCTCAGGTTGGCCTGGCCCCAGGGAGCAGACAACCTGATGCAACTGCCTGCAAAGTGACCACAGTGAAATAATAAGGTGTTTACTGCTTTCCCTGTCCTTCGCGCCCTCTCCGGAGGAAACAGTGAGGGTGTTGCTCGTCTCCTCTGCTGGAACCCCTCCCTGCAGGCATTCCACGAGAGGCTGGGCTGCCCATGGGTGGGTTTTCTCTCTGCTGCACAGAAAACTGTGATTTACCTCAGTTTTCTATAGGTCCTCTTTATTCCTGCATGGATTTGTGTCTCTCCCCTCCTTGGGAGTGTTTTGTGGTATAGACACCATCCAGTGCAGCACGGGAAGCTGGATTCCCTGTGACCTGTCCTGTGGATCCTGTCAGGATTCTCTGGTGCCTCTGGATGTGGATGTAGGCAGCACTCTGGCTCACAGACAGCCTTTTTCTCCCAAAAGCTGCTGGTGTGATAGTGGGATGGTGTTAAAGACAAATAGGGTGGCACCCTTTAAAGGAGTCCCTGACCCTTGTGTTGGACCTTTGCATTCTCTGAGGAGTACGGAGACATTTACAGGGGCTCACATTATAAAATTCAAGTTTTAGGTGAGGCTGGCGCATGAGATGAGCTGGCAAGTTCTGTTGGGGTGGCAAAAGCTGCTCTCCACGGCTTGTTGCTGTTGCTGGATCTTCCTGGCAGCTCCTCTCCCTGCTCCATGCCTGGCTTTGGGCAGGGAGGTGGGCAGTGGAGCAGCCCCTGCCCTTCTCCTGGGTCTCACCCTGCCCGTCCCGCTGCCCACAGGAGGTGCTGGAGCTGGAGAGGACACTGGGAGGGTACCTGCTGGAGGAGCCCAAGCCCCTGCCCTTCAAGGACAGCTACCACAACCTGCGTCTCTCCATCCACGACATCCCCCACGCCCTGTGGAGGAGCAAGCTGCTGGCCAAGTACCAGGTGAGGGGCTGAGGGGGCCCAGAATGGCAGCACCATCTTCAGCCAGGCTGACCACAGGGTTGGGGCTGCCCTGCTTTTTATCTGCAGAGTTGTTTCCCAAAGGGATGGGGGACGGAGGGGGACTGGTTTTCCGGTCTTTTTGGTGGGATGCTCACCGTGGGGTCCCGCTGTCCCATCTCGTCCCTCGTGGGGTGGCTGGAGGAGGTGGGATCTCCCAGGGGAGCTGCTGGAGCCTTGGCTCAGCCCGTGCTTTGGTGGCCTGCAGGAAATCCCCTTCTATCACATCTGGAGCGGCAGCCAGCGAGCCCTGCACTGCACCTTCACCCTGGAGAGGTACAGCCAGGCCTCCACCGAGCTCACCTGCAAGATCTGCGTCCGGCAGGTGGAAGGGGAAGGGCAGATCTTCCAGCTGCACATCACGCTGGGAGAGGTGAGCGCCGTGGGGGGGTGTGGGGGGCGGACAGCGAGGGGACACGCTGGGGCGTTTCAGCCCTGTGCTGCAACATCTCTCCCCGTCCTTCCCCTTGCAGCACTCCAGCTCCTTCGACACCCTCCGCTCCCACCACAGCGGTGCCACCCCCACCACCCAGGTGGGACCCTACGCCTTCAAAATCCCCCTCTCCATCCGGCAGAAGATCTGCAACAGCCTGGATGCTCCCAGCTCCAGGGGAAACGACTGGAGACTTCTCGCCCAGAAGCTCTCCATGGACCGGTGGGTGTCCCTGTGCTTTGTTTTCCACTGCTGTGCCCCAGGCAGGGTGGGGCTTCACTCTGTGCTCCCTCTGTGATGCAGGCAGGCCCTAGTGAGGTTATGTCCAGCTCAGTAGGTACCCCCAGAAAGATGGATGTAGCTCTGCATAGTTATATCCATCTCTATCCATGGATACAGTTTCAAACTAAAAAAGAAGAGCTTTAAATGAGATATTAGGAATAAATTCTCCCCTGTGAGGGTGGTGAGGCCCTGGCACAGGTTGCCCGGACAAGCTGTGGCTGCCCCATCCCTGGAAGTGTCCAAGGCCAGGTTGGACAGAGTTTGGAGCAACCTGGGCTAGTGGAAGGTGTCCCTGCCCACAGCAGGGGATTGGAATGAGATGAACTTTAAGGTCCCTTCCAACCCAAACCATTCTGAGATTCATCTGTGGGTCTCTTGGTGCTTGGAATGGCCCTGGGACCAGGGCTGTGCTTGTTCCTGCCTGGGTTCGCCCTGAGGACTGAAGGGAGGGAGGGAGGGAGGGTAATCTCAGCAAAACAAAGCTTACATTGCTTTTGCACGAATGCCAGCTCTCTGTAAAAGTTGAAGGTGGTATCTCGAGGGCTTTGGCATTTGCGTTGTGGCATTCTTGCCACGGTTCATGCTGCAAACAGGTTTGCTGCTCTGGCACCCTCAAAGGGCACCACACCAACCTGGGTCCTCCTCTGCTTCTCCTCCTCAGGTACCTGAACTACTTCGCCACCAAAGCCAGCCCCACCGGGGTGCTCCTGGACTTATGGGAAGCCGAGCACCAGGACGACGGTGACCTCAACACCCTGGCCAGTGCCTTAGAGGAGATGGGCAAGAGCGAGATGCTGGTGGTCATGGCCACGGAGGGGGACTGCTGATGATGCTCCCACGGCTGGTGGACCAGGAGGACGAAACGGGGGGTGAGGAGTGGTCCTTCCCCGACAGCTGGGGGGGGGGACCACACGTCCATCCTGAGCGAGGAAGGGCGGAGACCGTCGCTCCTGCTCCCTCCCCACGTCACTGTCAGCCTTAGAGACCCGTCCTCAGCGTTTACAAGCAATCCAAGTGTTACGCAGCGTTCCTCTTCCTCCTCCTCATGGCACGGGGAGGAATTAGGGCTTCTTGAGTCGGGATGGGGGCTTTCCTTTTCCTTCTTCTTTTGGGTTCCCCTCCTCCTCCTTTAATAGCATTTCTGCGTTGAAGAGACGAGTTCAATCCAGGCAAATGGCTTAACTCCTGTCAAAGGCTTCAGGCAGCTTAGCGAGGCAAATAAGAAAGGAAAAAAAAAGGAAAAAAAAAAAAAGTTTCTTAGGAAACGCAAATAATTTATTATCCAGATCTTTGGATGTGTCCTTTTTTAAAAAAAGAAAAGATAAAAAAAAAAAAGATCAAAAAAAAAGAGGCAGATTTATAATTTTTTTTTTTTTTTTTTTTTTTTTTTTTTTTTTTTTTTTTTTTTTTTTTTTTTTTTTTTTTTTTTTTTTTTTGGTGCATGAGAGCAAGAGCGTTGCTGTGGTCGGGGTGGCAGAGAGAGAGAGAGATTTCAATGGACACACTTTTGTAGGGAAAAGCGTGTGATCCAAGTCAAGCAAAACATGTTTACATGTCCTGGGACCCCTGGGGAGTCCGTAGGGTGAAGTGCCTCTCTGCCCCTCTGGTTCAGGGCCAGCTTCCCAAGGTTTTGTGTTTTTTCCTTGCAGACTCCCCTTTCCCTGGCAGCGGTGCCCAGCGGATCGAGGGACTCCCTTCCACCTGTGAGGAGGGATGAGGGATGCTGCCCTGTACTTGGGGTTCAGGGTGGGGAGAGTGCATCCAGATATGGGTATTTTTAATGAATTCTTCCCTGGCATTGTTTGGGGGAGCTTTTTAGGATGACTGCGCCTTCGTTTGCGTTAACTACAGTACAAACCAAAGATTTCGGTCCTGCACCAACCTCCGGACCCCGAGGCCAAAGTGGGGGGTGTTTTAAACCCAGCAGGATGGATGTTGCAGTGAACACTCCAAACCTGGGCCCGGGGGTCAGAGGGAGGTGAGGAGTGACTTGTGGAAGGATCCAGGGAGAGCAGGGGGCTCGTGCGCTGGGATGTGGCCTCATCTCGGGTCCATGTGCTCATTCATGCCCGGTTTTTGATGCAGTATTTCAGCAGGGATTCAGGGAGGGATACCTCAGCATCCCCAAGTTGTGAGCCAGGCTGAGCATTTCCACATGAGGGACGGCATCGTGAGCAGCGATTAGGTTCCCATCCCTCATTGCAGCTCCTGTTTTTCCCTTTAACGGGCTTTTTATAACGATGGGGAAGTTGTGGTGTGAATGGAGGGTAATCAAGGGGTAGGCAGGAACCAGGTTCCTCACACAGATACGGTGTCTTGATGAAGGTAAAAATTTAGGTTGCCTGCAGATAGAAATAGTTACTCAGCGAGTGCTGTATCTTAGAAATTTGTCTGTTTTAAAGAAAAAAAAAATATAGGAAGGGGGTGGTAAGCTCAGGATTAGGCTAGGCCACACGGCAAGGCTCTGGATTCTCCGTCAGTGGAAGTATTAGGAGCAGGTCCTGCTTTGGGCTGTGACGTGCAGTGTCCTGGCTGCAGAGCCCTGGCCCGGTGCCACGGGGTGCCTGTGTCGTCCCACAGTGTGCTGGGGACTGGAGCACACTCAGGGAGCCCTGGAGAGCATCACCTGCACAGGGCAGCTCGGGGAGAGCTTTCAGTATTGCTGGGGCACAACGGGATTCCTCTGGGCAGTGATGGAACACGCAGAGCCACTCCCTGTTGCATTTTGGGGTCTCTGGGCTTGTTGCTGGGTTTTCAAGGCTGTGGGAGAGAAGGAATCTTTTCCACTTGTGCTGGATGGGAAGATTGCTGCTGGGTGAGCTCCTGTATCACATGGGAAGGGTTATATCCATCCTGTAGCTTGCATCTGAGCATTTCTGAGACCCCGTCTCTGAGCTAAGGAGGAATAAGCAAATTCGGAAAGAAATGAAGACTTGATGGGTCAAACCAACTGCTGGTGGTTTAGAGGGCTCCCTTCTCGGTTCCACGGTGTTCTCTGTGAGATGAGATGCTCCTTCAGGTCGCCTCTGAATCTCTCTCACTCCCATTCTCGCTGTCTCTCGTTGATGGATCACTGCACCGGCACGTGTGTCTGTCCATCTGTCCATCCATCCGTCCCGCCAGCCAGGTGCCTCTGTCTCCATCCCCATCCGTTGCCTTCATCTTCCCTTTCCCTTCGGCAGGCAGCAGCCACCTGGCCCGGCTGTGCTTGGGGAGGTTCTCCCCATTTTCCAGACCAGGGAACCTGTGTTGGCAGTGGGACAGGAGGGAGGCAGGGTTTGCCCCCCACCCCGGCTCCCCTGAGCACCTGTGCCCCTCTCCCATGGGTGCAGCTCCCAGGAGCCCTCCACGCCTCCCTCCACACCCAAGGGGTTTCTCCCACCAGACCTTTTGGCAAGGGCAGCCCTGAGGGTCCGTGTTGTGCTGGCAGTGTCCATCTCTTGCTCCGCAGTCTGTTTCCATATTTATATGTCCAGGGGATGGGCCCGGTGGCATCCTCTGAAACCGCGTCTGTTTATTCTGTAAACTAAAGAAGTGTAAATAAAGTTTAGCATTCCTATTGTAACAAATTAATTTTTATGCAATAAATTATATTTCCTAGTCTAATTAAAAAAAAAGAAAAAAAAAAAAAAAGAAAAAGAAACAAATCTGCTCCTCTCCTTTTCATCACTCACTGCTGGTTCCTGTGGGGTTTAGTACCTGCAGGGATTCGGCTCTGGCAGCAGTGGCAGTGTGGGGATCCCTGTGAGCATCCCTCCAACTTGTTTTTGGCTAGGATGTCACAGGCGTGCCAGTGGGAGGATTTTGCTGTCATCTCCCCGATATAGATGAGCTGGAGATTGACTGATGGGTTGTTTTGGACCCACATGGGTGATTGCAAGGTGGGACCCAAGCACTACAGTTGTGCCCCTTCTCCAAGCCAGCTTCTTCAGCAGTTCATTCCCTTCCCCAAGGGATATCCTGCAGAACGCAGTGCCCCTTCCAGCAAGGACTAAGATCAAGGTGGCTAATTTGGGAAGGGGGAATAGAGCACAGAGCTGCAATCTGCAGCTTGGACATCCTTGTCCTTCAGCATCCCCCTGTGCTTCCTGCCCTGCTTAGGGACTACCGCTGCTCTCCTGCTTCAATTCCAGCAAGGAAACGAAGCCAGAACGGTTTGCAGAGGGATAGGAGGGTCCCTCTGAGCCTGCCTGGGCCACTCACTTCGTCCAGCTTGTCGGGACCAGGTGCCACCAGGAGATGGCAACGTTGTCCCTGGTGCTTGGCAGGCATGGGGATTCTGCAGCCAGTGAAAGAAAAGGGGAGGGAAGTGCTGCCCTGACACCGCAGCTCTTACAGCGTAGCCATGCAAAAGTGCCAAACCTTCCAAGCTGGGCTTTCCAGCTCTGGATAGGGTGCTGAGGCAAGTGCCTTCTCAGGAGGGATAAGCTTTTCAAAGAATGATAGAACGGTCTGGATCAGAAGGAACCTTAAAGATCATCTTGTTCCTCCCCCCTGCAATGGGCAGGGACACCTTCCACCAGCCCAGGTTGCTCCAAGCCCTGTCCAACCTGTCCTTCGACACTTCCAGGGATGGGGCAGCCACAGCTTCTCTGGGCAACCTGTGCCAGGGCCTGCCCACCTGCACAACCAAGAATTTTTTTCCTAAAATCCAAACTAACTCTGCCTGTTGTCAGTTTAAAGCCATTCTCCCTTGTCCCTTTTTTTTACATCTGAATTCCTTCAACCTCCATCTCCCAGGTTGCTTTCCCTGAGCACCTTTTCCACTAAACCATCTTTCCAAGGGCCCAAATCCACGGATAGCTTTGACCGACTGGTGCCTGATTTCACCTGTTGCTCTCCTATGGAAACACCCAGCTTGCTCGACCCCCTTAAAATTCAGCTGCCCCAAACCCCTGCAGCTGACACCTTGACCCCAGTCCCCTTGACAGCTTCAAAATCAACAGCCATCCCACTGCTCAGCGTTGACAGGTTTATTCTGCAGGAGAGAGGACGTGCAGGAGCAGCAGAGCAGCACAGGGGCGTCCCTAAAACCTGCCCCCAGCCTGTGTGGGGGGCTGTGTTGTTGTGCAGGGTCTCTGGGGTGTGGGTAATGTTGTCTGGAGGGGCTGTGGTGGCTCTGGCCCAGCGTGGCCTGGCTTTGTCCCTCCCTCCCCCCTGCTGGGCTGTCACGGTCCCTTGTGCTGATGTGATCCGAGGCTCCGCTCCAGCAGCGGGTTTTTTGACGTGATGGATGGCAGCAGGTCAGAAACATCAGGCAAATCCCTCGGAGCTGATGAGCTACTGACTCGGATAGGCCGTGCCATCTCCTCAGGTGCCTTCCCAGCCTGGCACGTCAATGCGGATGAAAAATCCCAAGGAGAAACCTCTGGAGAGAAACCCGTGTGCTCCTCTCAAGCCTTTCCATTTCAGCACATCGCCAGTGGGTGGGTTTGGTTGCGTGCTTCTGCTTGTTTTTGCTCACAAAAGAGGGGAAAAAAACCCACGAGAGCCTGCGTGTGTCTGGGGTTATTTTGACGTCGGGGTGGCCGAGGCCGCCTGACCTGCTCTCCTGGCAGGCTCACAGGCTGGAGCTGGGTGGTGGCCCAGCTGTGCATACACTGGTGCTACTGGGAGATGGCTGGGTGCCTCTGCGTTTTTCCCACAGGCAGCTGTAGGTGGAAAAAAATCCCGACTAGACCATTTTGGGGTCTTCTGCAGAAAAACGGAGGGCATTTTGCTTTCATGAAGAAAGGCTGGAAGAAGGGCTTTTTCCTTTCCTTTTCAGTGGAGGGAAAAGCAAGGAAGAGACACAGGTTGGTTATGGTTACCTTAGGGGCTGGAGGTGGGGAAGGCTAAAGGCAAACAGCTGGGAGGAGGAAACAGATGATGTAAAGCTCCTCTAATTTATTTGCCCACACAAATACAAATGAATTGGCAAAGACTGTCCGATGGTTACAGTGGGGTTACAGAAAAAGTGGGGCCCTACCAGCCTATCATTTTCCTGCGTGGCTGCTGAGGGGCCAAACACATTTTTGGGCAAGGAAAAAGGGAAAGAAGGGCTAATGATGTTTTTCTTTCCAGTCACACCGTGCTCTCAAGGTGAGTGTTTAAGTGTAGTTTGAAGAAAATTGAGGACTTTACAGTGAAATTCATCCTGATGAGGTGCTGCAGGAAGTACAGGGAGTAAAGGAGGATCTCAGGTAAGGGGCCCCAAATCCAACACAGTATGTTCCCCACTGCACAAAAAAAAAAAAATCAAGCCAGACTGTGATTAACACTGATTTTCACAGAATCCCAGAATGGTTTGGGTTGGAAGCTCATCTC